CCAGATATAATTTTTGATATCTGTTTATTAGTGGGTGCAGGACACTATAGTTCATTTATGTAAGTGAGGACTGTGTGGACTACCAGTAAAATTGCTAAAAAAAAAATTGGGAGCAAATATTCAGACACTTTGACCTGACCATGTTTTTGATTAAGTGTTTTTTTCTTTAATTGCTAATGCGACTTTTTTTACACCACAGACTGAACAAAATGAAGCATTGCTTGGTAATTGGTTGTGTACTTACATTTAACAGCTGACAGCTATTCAACCGAATTCATATAGGACTACCTTTCTATCAAAGTTATATGACATTATCAAGATGAATTTGTTCTGACTCAGTTTAATTCTGAAGTCTTGTCATATTTCATTACCATTTTCTAAACTATAGTGCATAAACCGTGATAATGTGAGAAATGTTGAAGGTGTCTGAATACATTTTGGTTTGACTGTATCTATATATATATATATATACATACAGTTATATACTATATATAGGCTAGCTATATAAATCTGTATTCAAATATTAATTTGTGTGTGTGTGCTGTGCACTTCATCATAGTCGTTAGTATAGAACTGTCATGTCACGTGTCATAATCCCTTCTTCTGACTGCAGCTGAATGAAATGTGTCACATTAAAGCATCAGACACTCATTACATTAGGAAGAGCAGATGGTAAATCCCATCAGTCAGAGAGCAGGTGTGTACCGTCACCATGGAAACCTTTGTCTTTGCCGAGGAGGAGGAGAGGCGGCGCTCTGATTGGTCCTCTGTGAGTGAGTGAGGGGGCGGAGCTCACAGCGGAAACAGCAGAGTGGGAGGAGAGAGAGGCCTCTGCGCTGCTGCTGCTGAACAGAAGAGAGCTCCACTGGGAAAGATGATGATGGGAAAGGGAAGAAAAACCTCATGTTAGGCCACGGAATAAAACCACAAAGAATAAAGAACATCATAGAAATACACTGATCTTTCTACTGAGGGTTAGAATGTTTTTGTTTTGTTTTGATGATTATCATATGTGGGTTGATAATATACATAAACTTGTTAAATAAATATATTTGCCTATACATATTATACTCTACTCACTAGACTAATATTTCTTAACAGTAATATTGTGAAATATTTTTACAATTTCAAATAGCTGATTTCTATGTGAATATCTATTTAACTGTAATTTATTTCTGTGATGCGCAGCTGTATTTTCAGCAGCATTACTCCAGTCTTCAGTGTCACATGATCTTCAGAAATCATTCTAATATGCTGATTTGCTGCTCAAGAAACATTTCTGATTATTATCAGTGTTGAAAACAGTTGTGCTGCACAATATTTTTTTGTGGAAACTGAAACATTTTATTTTTCATGATTCTTTAACGAATAGAAAGGTTAAAAGAACAGCATTTATTTGACATAGAAATCTTTTGTAACATTATAAATGTCTATACTGTCACCTTTGATGAAATTAATGCGTCTTTACCTACCCAAAACTTTTAAATGGTAGTGTATCACGGTATCCAGACTAATAATAATACTAATAATAGGTACAATGTACTTGTTTTATTGTGGTATAGTTGGGGGGGGGGTGGAAGGGTCAGTGCAATTAAAAATGTAATTACAGAAATTAATAGTTTTTAAATACAAGCAAAATGCAAAAACGCATGTACACAATAAGTGCATTGCATCAAATGATTAATTTAAATGTTAAAGACACTTAAGTGGGTCCAATTATTTTATAAAAAATACATATTCCATATAGTCTCTCAAATAATAAGTGCTCATCATAATAACATTTACTCAAAACATCTAATATTTAAAGTACCAGGCAAGATGCTGCTTGAAATGTCAACCACACATTGGCTCATGAGGGATTCTTTCTGGGAAATGAAGCGTCTGATAACAGTGACTATGCATTGGCATTTAGTTTATTTTTATATGCAGCAATGTATATCTGTCATATGAAAAGAAGAGAAAACCAGCAGTTGATGATCAATGCGTTTTCAAAAGCACAATGTACAAAACTGCACCGAATATACAACATTATAAAAATTCAAGACAAAACACGTGATACATTTCGGGAACTATACGAAATGAAAAAACAATGACGTGGAGCTCAAGACTTTATTTATGCACAATACAGTATAGTAGCTACAAACATATTTCCCAATCCTGTTTAGTTCAGTTTATGAGATGCAGTAATTCCCCAATCCAACTAAAAGCCATTTTATCCTGTGAGACACTTGATAATTCAAATGCTGATGCATGATGCATCCGTCCTAGCCAATATCAGTTACTAAATCATCGGTATTGGTCTAATGGAAGCAGATATTTGATCCGTTTCAAAGCCACTGAACTGATATTTATCTTTCCCATCATTCTTACTGGAGGTTTGATTGATTCTGAACACTGTTTTTAAAACAACAGATAAAACAATATAACTGTATATTCTCAGTCATTGGTCTTGGTCAGTTGCATCTCTAATTCTGAGAGACGCTGAAGCTGCATGATGTGTGTTTTAAAGCACAGGACCGAAGGTAATATATCCTACCGACAGCTAAACAACTGACATGAAACATGAAGGCTTCAAGTAAACAGACACTTAAATATGCTTTACAAGTTGTTGATATACAGTGAGGTCCAAAAGTCTGTAAAATGAAGATGAAACATTTCAGACTGTGCACTATTTCTACGTGACTACTCAAATGTAAGTAAATGAGTGTCACTGATCATGTGACTTTTGTACAGATGGCCAGATTTTCTTCTTCGCTAATCATGCTGGAGACACTTTTTCACTCGTTTTGTCATGCTGATAATAGAATCAGTGAAGAAATCTCACTAGTTGACTTTTGGATCCCACCATAATAAACGACATAATAATCATGAATTCTTTATAATCATCGTACACCGATGAGACGCGGGTCTTTTCTGGCATTAGGACAGCAATGTAAAAAAGGCAGACACATAAAATAACGTGCCAAACTTAAAGGGATAGTACACCAAAAATGAAAACTCTGTCATCATTTACTCTCCTCAACCGGTTGACGGTAGCCATTGACTTCCATATAGCGCTGCATGATAAATCGCGATAAATCGCAATCGATATTAGGCAAAAGCTGCGATATTCATGCGCGCATCTTGTCAGTGAAGCACGGTTCTGTGATCAGTAGTAAATCTCCATCCGAAGACAAGATTTAACTGCTTTCATTGATTCAACGTGACTAATAAACACAGGACTATCTAAATTTTTCTTATTATAATAAAGTATATAATAATGCAGTGCCTTTATCATACTATGAAATATGTTGCGTGCCTTATTCTGTGTAAGAAGCCACATCATCTCACAGAAGGATTTATTTCAAACACTCGACTGACGTTATGAAGTGAGTTTGGAGTAAAAACATGTTATTAAATGTGGTATTTTCACGTGCTTTCAGATGGAGCAGCATTTACTACACAGAGCCGTAGTTCACCGAGAAGCTATGCAAACAGCTGTCATTATCGCGAACAATTTCTTCGATTTCAGAATCGCTACAAAACTAGATTTTTACTTTCATGATGAAAACATAGAGTAAGTGCTTCTTTCTTGTACAACATTTGCTACCATGATGCTATATATGGTCGCTAAGGGGTTCTGTGTGCTTTTTAGGGTGTTGTTATGTGGTTTCTAGGGTATTCTAAATGGTTGCTAGGCAGTTGCTTACTTGGAGAGGTTTTGTACCGTATAGAATAAAGCAATAAGCCCCAAGAAGCCGTGGTTTACAGTGAATTTATAAATTCATAACTGTTATAAATTCACTGTAAACCACGGCTTCACGGGGCTTATTGCTTTTA